TTTATCATTTATTTATGTCATATAACAAATTCTTCCAAAACTTAGTAGCTTAAAAGAATCATAATAATTTCTTATCTTTCATAATGTCTATAATTCAGGAATTTTGAATCTTTATTGACTGATTATGGATGAGGATCTCTCATGAAGTTGCAGTTAGTTGCTGAATTGACTGAATAGACAATCCAATTCAAAGTGACTCAATAACATCATCCTCATGACTCTTCTCAAAAGGCCTCAGTTTCCACTCAGTCACTTTGACCTTAAGAAGCAACCTTGCTTTTCAAACTGTGAATGGAGCTTTAGAGAAGGGGCATCTGGGTACAGTTCACATCTGTCTTAACTCTGTGGTTTCTGAAGATAAAGAATGTTGATCCTTTATTCCCATAGTTCTCTTTTGTGTGAATCTATCAAAACACTGCTTCTCTCAAATCCTGGGCTAACCATATTTCTTCCTTGGTGAGAGGTCCCATGATTCCTCTGGGCTGCAGTCATCTCATTGAGATGCCAGTTAGCCCTATTTTTCAGAATACAGGCTTGCATTCCTGGTGAACTTTACGTGCTTGGGACAAGGCACATCAAAGTAAAATTGATGACTGTTCTCTTGTTATAGGATTGTCTTTCTTCAATGTATCTTGTACAATCCCAACTTCGGGGGGGGGATCTCTGATTTCTTTTACAGTAGACATTATAACTTTTGAAAAATATTAAGCACAGAAGTTTCAGGCAGAGAAATCATAATGTCATAATAAGGTGATACAATAATAGATGATTCATTTTCTTTTCTTGAGATTCTTTTCCCCCAGAAAGAGAAGCCATGGTACTAGAGACATCATTGCCAATGTTAGATGGATCGTGAATGAAAGCAAAGTTAATTGGGGGTGGGGGGGGAAGGTCTCAGTTTCTACCTACTTTGACCTCTATAAAACACTACTTGTTCTCATAGTATGGAGGCTGAATTTTTCCAGGATAAATGATCAAAAAGAACAAAGTGGAAGACATATCATCTTTATTTAGTGCCTTTTCTTTGAATTATTGTTGTTAGGTGTCATTGAAGCTACTATTTATTACTCATAATGACCCTATGAACAGATCAAAACCTTGCTCTAGTCTATGCTATCCTCACAAGTGCTCCATTGACAAGTTCATTGCTATAGTCACTGTGTCAATCCATCTAATTGAGATTCTTATTCTCTTTTACTCAATCTTCACTTTTCCCATCTTTTTCCCATTGTGTCTTTTTACAAAGGCTAGCCCCCTTCTAGGAACATGCCCAATGTATGTACAAGAAGTTTCACCATGCTTGTCTCTAAGGAGCACTCTAGTTGTACGTCCTTCAAGATAAATTTGTTTGTTCTTTTGGCAGTCCATGGGATATTCAATATTCTTTACAAACTCAATTTGAAGGCCTAAGTTCATCTTCAGTCTTCTTTATTCATTGTGCTATTATCAGACACATTGGACATAATCCTTGGCATCTTTTAAAGGATTCAAAGCAATCCTTTGAAATTCCATACTGTTACTCCACAATATTAGTTATTAGTAACACCACTCATTTAGTGAAGGAAGTCTGCATAAGGGAGTCAACAACAGGAGACAATCATTATTAGGGATCATACTTGAGCCTGACAAGTGAAATACAGCATACAGTGAAATAAGAAAATTTTAAATCCATAAATACATCCACCAGATCTCTCTTCGTCTCTCTCTCTCTCTCTCTCTCTCTCTGTCTCCACATATACATATACATATACATATACATATACATATACATATACATATACATATATATATTAGGGATGTTCATACTTTCAGAAAGTTTACTTCTACTCTTCTATTTTTTTTTCAATCCCATACTCAAAACAACTACTTAAATTATGTTCTTCACCACAGGCTGTATACTTTTACCTGTACAAGAGCTTCATACCTATGAAATAAGGCAGTATCCGTTGTTTTGTGTCTGATATGACTTGCTCTGTGCGGTGGAGTGATGATTAGAGTGATGATTATTATAAGCGGAAGGGTTCTGACCTAGTAACAAGTTATGAAGAAGGTAGAATTCTGAACAGATAACAATTGCATTTTCAATTTGACATTAAAAAAAACATATAACTTACCGTGTTCTATGTTTATATTGTCTACAAATAAAGAGGGAAAATATCAGTTTCAAGAAACATGGTGGTAGAATTAATGTTATATAATATGGAGATAGCAGTGAATATTTGAAACAGATTGTTGCAATTTGACTGAATTCCAATTCATCATATATGTGCAACAATTTATGGAGAAGGTAGAGTTCTGAGGAGATAGCAATTACATTTACAATTTAACATATTAAAAAAAAACACCACATAACTTACCAAGTCCTTTACCATTTTTTTCTGAAAATACAAGAAAAGGAAGTAGTAATATTTAGAAATATTATGGTAGACTTTGATCTTTGACAGCTTGGAGATAGCAGTGAATATTTGAGTCAGATATTAGTAAACATTTGAATCTGACTGCTGGAATCTGACTGAATTCCACTTTATGATATATGTGCAACCAGTTATGGAGAATGGTGTATTCTGGGTAGATAATGATTCTATTTTCAATTTACCACATAAAAAAAAAAGAAAACCCACAGAACTTACCAAATACTGTATCAACTTGGTCTTCAAATTTAAAAAACAACAACAAGAAGGAAAATATTATGGTGCTTGGAGATAACAGTGAATATTTGAGTCAGATTGCTGCACTATGACTAAACTCCAATTTATCACGTACATGTAACCAGTTGGAGAGATGGTAGTGTTCTCAGGAGACATTAGTTGCATTTCAATTTAGCATTTGAAAGAAACAGACAACTTACCATCTTTATTTCTAACTTGTTCTAAAAGTAAAATAAAGGGAGGAAATATTAATTCTAAGAAATAAAGTGGTAGAATTTGTTCTTTTATGACTTAGAGATGCCAGTGAATGTTTGAGCCAGATTGCTGCTTAAATATGACTAGCCTACAGTTCATTGTATACTGCAATCAGTTACAGAAATGTTAATGCTCCCTACAAGCATCAATTGTGTTTTTAACTTACAAACAAAAAAAAAACCCGTAGAACTTACCAAGTTCTTTTATGACATGGTATATAAGTAAAATAAAGAGAAGAAATATTAATGCTAAGAAATATAGTGGTAGAATTAGTTCTTCTGTAACTTAGAGGTGCTAGTGAATATTTGAATCAGATTGCTGAAATATGACTAAACTCCAGTTTATAATATACATGCAACCAGTTACAGAGATGTTAATGTTCTCTACAAACATCAATTGTGTTTTTAACTTACATATGAAAAAACGCAGAACTTACCAAGTTCTTTTCTGACTTTGTCTATTAATAAAATAAAGAGGAGTAATATTAATGCTAAGAAATATAGCGGTAAAATTTGTTCTTCTATAAAGTGGAGATATCAATAAATCTTTGAAACAGATTATTAGAATTTGACTGAACTCCATTGTATACATGCAACCAGCTATGGTGAAGATGCTATTCTGAGCAGATAACAGTTGTATTTTTAATTTAGCATATAAAGGAAACACAGAATTCCTAAACTATTTGGTCTAGAAATTTTAAAAAGGAAAATAGCAATTCCAAGAATTATGAAGTTAGAAATTGTTCTTCTATAACTTGGAAATATCAATGAATATTTGAGTCAGATTTCTGGTATCTGATTAAGCTCTAATTTACCATAACCATGCAACCAGTTAAAGGGATGTTAATGTTCTCAGCAGACATAAATTGTAGTTTTTATTTGGCATTTGGAAGAAACACAGAACTTACCATATTCATTTCTGATTTGATCTAAAATTAAAGACAGGAAATATTAATTCTAAGAAATATAGAGGTAGAATTTGTTCTTCTGCAACATGGAGATATCCGTAAATAGATCAGGTTGCTAGAATATTCTGAACACCAATTCATCATACATGTACAACCATATATGGAGAAGGTAAAGTTCTAAGCAGATAACAATTACATTTTCAATTTACCATATTAAAGAAACACAGAACTTACCATTTTCTTTTCTAACTTGGTCTGAAAATTTAAAAAAATACAAGAAATATTATGGTAGAATTTGTTATTTTATAACTTAGAGATATCAATTAATATTTCAGTCTGATTGCTGGAATATGACTAAACTCTATATACACGCAAGCAGTTAGAGAGATGTCAGTGTTCTCAACAAACATCAATCATATTTTCAATTTAGCAATTGGAAGAAACACAAAACTTACCATATTCTTTTGCAAGTTGGTCTAAAAATGAAATAAAGAGAGGAAACATTAATTCGAAGAAACACAATAAGTGGTGGAACTTGGTCTTCTATAACATGGAGATAACAATGAGTAGGTGAGACAGATTGGTGGAATTTTACTGCATTTAATTTCATCAAATATATGCAACCAATTACAGAGTAGTGTTATAAGCACATACTGATTGTATTTTCAATTTAACATACAAAAAGAACACAAAACTTACCAAGTTCTCTATTGGCTTGCTCTAAAAAGAAAAGAGGGAAATTACTAACTTAAAATTCCTATTAATAAATAATTATTGATCAAAAGTCCACTTTATGCGAGGAAGCATTTTCTACACTGTTCTTTGCTCTTTGCAGCCAAATATATCTACTTTGGGGTAAATAACATTTATACCTTAAAATTCCATTTATTTTTCTTAGCTTTGATTGACCAACTTGGTTTTATCAACCTTTTTTAGAGGTGGTCATATGGTCATAGGGTAGTATAATCAACTAAAAAGTTAAATTGCTAACCAAAACATAGAATAATGGTTCAGTCCAACAGTAGGTATCTGGGAAGAAAACACTGGCAATCCACTTGTCAAAAAAATCAGTCACTGCCCACTCTTATAGAGCACAGTTCTACTCTGACATGTAGAGGTTTTAATGAGTCTGAATTAACGCCATATAAACTGACCACTGATTGTCTGTGTTGTACAGACTGGCAGGGAAAGAGCAGTGTTATTGTTGTTGTTGATGTTGTTGTTTTTGTTAAGTGCTGTTGAGTCAAGTACGATTCAAAGCAACCCGATGAGCAAAAGATTTGAACCCTGTTCTATCCTGTGCCATCCTCACACTTCCTGACACACTAGAGCCCATTGCGGCTGTCACTGTGTCAATCCACCTGGTCAAGGATTTTCCTCTCTTTTTTATGGGGGGGGGTCCTCTCTTAAACAACCCTCTACCCTTCCTAGCATCATGTCCCTCTCCAAGGAGTAGCCCTTCCTAGCAACATGTCCAAAGTATGTGAAACAAAACCTCAGCATTCTTGCCTCCAAAGAACACTGCACTCTCTAAGACATATTTGTTCTTTAGGTCATCCACAGGATTTCTGTGCTCTTCTACAACCTCCCTGCTCAAAGAAATTAATTCTTCTTCTGTCATCCTTATTCCTTGTCTAGATCTTGGATGCATAGCAAGTGACTGGAAAGACGATGGCTTGAATCAGACACACCTTCATCCTCACACATCATTACTCCTCAATAATTTGGAGACATCCCTAATCACATACCAGCGCAATGCATCTCCTTATTTCATGACTACTGGTACTGGGGATGTTAATGGTAGATCTAAGTAAGATAAAGTTATTAACAGCTTCAATCTCTTCTCCCTCCATCATGTTGTCTATTGGCCCAGTGACAAAAATCTTTGGTTTTTTGACATTGAGATGCAATGTATACCAAAGGCTACATTCCTTGATCTTTTGCATGAAGTGCTTCAAGTCTTTTCACTTACAGCAAGCAAGATTGTGTTATCTGCATAATACAGGTCATAGATGAGTCTACTTTCAATCCTGATGTCACACTCTTGTTCATAGAGTACAGCTTTTCAAATAATTTGCTCAGCATGCAGATTAAATAGGTATGGAGAGACAATACAACCCTCACACACTCCCTTAATTTTAAACTATGTAGCATTCCCCTGCTCTGTTTGCATAACAGCCTCCTGGTTCAGATACAGGTGTCACATGAGCACAATTTAAGTGCTCTGGAATTCCCATTCTTTTAATATCACCCACAACTTGTTATGATTCACACAGTCAAATGCCTTTGCAAAGTCAATATACCAAAAATAGACATTCTTTTGGTATTCTTTTCTTTTCTTTTAGCCAGGCTCCACCTGACATCTGCAACGATATCCCTTCTTCTAAATCCTACTTGAACTTCTGGTAGTTCTCTATCTATTACTCTTTCAGCCATTTTTAAATGATCTTCAGCCGTATTTTGCTTGCATGTGACATTAATTATATTGTTTGATAGTTTCCACATTCAGTTGGATCACCTTTCTTGAAAATGGGAACAAATATGAACCTCTTCCAATCCATTGATGAGACAGCTGTCCTCCAAATTTCTTTAGCTCATCCAAGGTGGTATTTGTAATTGAAACAAATCCATTGGTGTGCCATCTATTCCTGGGGCCTTATTTTTTGCCAATGCCTTCAGTGCAGCTTCCAATTCCTCATCCGTTACCACTGCCTCCGGTTCTTATGGTACTTCTTGAAAGTTTTCAGTGTCAATCAGGTCTTTCTGGTACAGTGATTCTGTGTATTCCCTATGTTTTCTTTTGATACTTACTGGATTATTCAATATATTGCCCTTCACATCTTTTAGTAGTATTGTGACTCAAAACTTATTGCTTTTTAGTTATCTAAGCTTGAAAGGTATATAATTTTACTATAATATTATATATAATAGGTATATTATATATAATGTATTAAATTATATATTATAATAGTTTGCTTTTGTCCTCTTGAGCATCCATCTGAAATCTCCTGTTCAGCTCTTTTGCGTCACTATGATTTCCTCTTTTGGGGGGGTGGGGAGGGGGGCTTCTTGATTCTGCAGTGTAATTTTGAGTCTCTTCTGACATTTTTATTTTTTCTTTCTCCTTTGTTTTTATAATAAACTCTTGCTGTGGATGATAACTTTAATATCATCCCAAAACTCATCTTCAATCATTGGTGTTCGATACCTCAAACCTATTCCTAAGATTATCTTGAAATTCAGATGGAATTGATTCAAGATCATATGGTTGCTTGGCTCCTGTAGATTTATTTTCCTTTTCTTCCACCTCAATTTGAACTTGCATGTGAGTAATTGATGGTCTGACCTATAGTCTGCCCCTGGCCTAGTCTTGACCACCAAGATTGAGCTTCTACTACAATTTCTTCCACAAATGTAGACAATTTGATTCCTATGCAGCCCATCAAGTGAGATCCATGTGTAAAGTCACACTTTTTTTTGTCTTTTTAAAAAGGTATTTACAATGAATAAATCACTGTAAATACAAGATTTGATCATGTTATTCCTAGCCTTATGTTTATCACCAAGCCTATCTTTTCCAACTACTATTATTCCTTCTTCACTGTTTCCAACTTTTTCATTCCAGTCACCAATTAGCTAGCATATCTTGATTGCATGTTTGGTAAATTTTGGACCACAAGATTTGGTAAAAATTCTCACTTTCTTCCTCTTTGGCTCTAGATATAGGAGAGTATATTTTAATAATAGCCATTAACAGGTCTTCTTTTTTT